CAAAGAGAAGGCTTTTCATGTCATATTCTTTTCTCCCTTCTCCAAATGCCTTTCAGAGCATTCTTACTCAAAGGGTTGTATTTCTTCTCCCCTATCCTTTTGTACTCCAACCTGTCCTACCTCAACTGCCAGTTTCTTTTGACTCTATATCCTTATGATTTTATATTCATTTTCTCCTAAAACGGGTTCTGTATCTTCTCAATAGATTCATATGGGTCATTCCATCAAATGCATGAACATAAATACAATTAAGAACAGGGCAGAAAAATCCTTTGAGAAAAGCTTCATGTGTTTCCAATCATTTTCTACACAGAATTAAAACATCCACTGTGTTAGTATAAAAAAAGGCACGGCAACCTGGGTATAAAAGAGAACTATGAGGAAATTAATTTAAAATGCAAAGGTAAACAATTATGTAACTTGGTATTAATATACTAGAAGAGTTTCCTTCCTTGTACCGTTCTGAAATGAAGCTGCCAGAAGCTTTTATTATATCCCATATCTGGCCAAAAAAGGGGAAAAAATGATGTTGTCTGAAAAATATTGACTCAGAACAGGAATTACTCACTGGAACTATATCAGAGGTACAAGGATAAAGAAGCTCAGGTTACTAGGGCAGCTGTCCTAAAGGGTGCACAGTAAGAAGAATATTGCTTCAGCATGGTCAGGTTTCAATTGCAGTTTTGTAGGAAATGCTGCTGCCCCACCCCTTCCTGGCCTGTCATCAGGACCTTGATTCACAGCATGCATCTGTTTCACAAGCAGTACTTGAAGTCATTTGATGAACTACCCAATGGACACTATGCTTCTCTTCTGGACTTCTGTTCAGGCATAGTAAGACATTTCTTCTTGTGATTATGCTGATGGGTCTGGAGTGACAGGAGAGAAAGGAACAGCTCACGGCACTTCAGTTCCTACAATCAGCCTCCTTGAGTGAGATGCGACATCAGAAGGCTTATGGCATTAGTCAAGACCCTTCAACTCTCACAAGCACTTAGGCCAGCAGCAGACTTCTCAGAAGTCTCACTCGGTTCTAAGTTGGTTCTGCCAGAATGTAGCCAGTCTTTAAGGTGCCACAATGTTTTCGTCTTCTTTATTTTTATTGTTCTTTTGCTTTGGCCTGATATGCTAGCACAGACAAACAAGGCTACCTCTTCTAAAATTACCTGGTAACAGTTAACCTCTTTACAAATTGTGATATGTTCAGAATACATGGTTAGCCCATGCAACACAACACTGGCATTACCACATCTTCATTTGGCAACAGCTTCTACACCATTTTCAGCAGTACCTCCACCTACTGCTGTAGACTAATTTGGAGGCAATCACAGCACAGATAATTATTTTATGAATTTAACTGAAAAGATAGATGGTTGTTTGCTTTATTTTGTTAGTTGCTGTGAGTGCCTCCATCAGGAGAAGAACAGTGGGACAAAATAATAAGTAACTATAAATAGATAGGTTTCCTCAAACATCCTCACTTCAACTACTGACTATATTCCTTGCTATGGAAATGCTGACTTTTGAGTACTGTTTCATTAGAGTTTCAAGGGCTTCTTTTCAGGCTGCTAAAAATATTTCACTGCTTCGTCCAGAGTTCTGTGACCTTTTGTACCTTCGTATTTCTACAGCAAGCATTTTATCTGAAATTAAACTGGAGGGAGTCCAAAACCATCATTTCAATGAACATAAAATTGTTTCACAGGAACTTTTATGGGAGATTTTAAGTTTTCTGTCAGAAAATTGTCATAAGGACATCCCAACTATAAGTTGTGCATTTTAAAGTAGTAGACACTGATGTGACTGTGCCCAACTAAATTCAAGCCAAATTTGGCTGTAACACGTTAGAAGAAATTATGTATCAACAGACTATTTTTCTAAGTAATGAGGGCATAACTGCTTTTTAAAACACAAGAATTGGTAACATACTTGCCTTTTAATTTAACAAATAAATAATGTTGAAGGTTGGGACCATTTGGTGGCATTTTTAGTTATTTTCTTCTTTTTTTATATTTTTGTCGAAAAATAATGGAAGAAAATACATTTGCAAAATATTGCTTTCTTCCCATTTCTTTACTTAGCTTGGGACAACAGCAGGGCCATAGTGTTAAAATCCTTCCTCCCTATTACATTTCTGATCTAGTTTCCACCTGTTTACTGAAAACCCAGACAAGGGCTAAAAATGTGTGTTATTAGTATGGTAAGCAACATTTGCCTTAACACCTCTGAGAGCTATTGGACTACACCTACTGTTACCATTAGCCAGCACAGTTATTAGTGAGAGATCACAAATACTGTAGTCCAACAAAATCTGGCGGGTTTATCCTTGCACAAAACAAATGCTTGAATTATGCTCCACATGGTAAATTCCATTGTTTTTCCTAAGTATAACTCACCCTTCCTAAAATGCTGGTGAACACTGAAACATTTTTTTACAACTTGTGCAAATATTTCACCTCAATAAAAACTAGGTACTTTGCTAAACGATGGTACTCAGAAATAAGAAAACTGGTTTTTGCATACTCTTCTACATTGAGGAGAGCATTTAAGATTGTAACACACTGGAGAAAGGTATAAATGCAATGCAACACTGCAATCCTGCACTGCCATATGAATGCAGTACACATGCTTTGCTCTGCACTCATATTACGTCAGATGTTTTTGTGCTCTCGCATATCAAAGATGATATATTTTTAAAAATGTATTTATCTACTAAATGGGTCAATGAGCAACAATAATATTGGCACCTAGCCAGGTATTATATAACTCAGGTTACTTTTTATCTGAAACTTCTGGCCATGATACCCTGCAAATGTGTCCTATGCAAATCTTTCTTAAAAGAATAAGTAAAAAAAAGGAGTAACTTCACTTATTCTCTATCTAAGTTTGTCTTCCCTTCTCATCTTTTTCTCTGTTGTGTTTTTCGCAGTCAAATGTAAACTTTAAAGTACCTGGAGTTTTAAACTTGATTTAAACACATGCTGATGTAACAATGCTAGGGGGTACTTTCGTCTAGTTTTTCCCCTCAGAACCCTATGTATGCTGAATTGATCCAGCGTACAAATAATAAATACTATAGCTCTCAGTTGACTGCATTACTATTCTTACAATCCTGAACAACTGATGCATATGAGACCCATCAGCATATTGAAATTCCTAGTATGTTCAGCCAGTCCTTCTGAAAACTAACTTGCAAAGCAAATAAGGTGACTACATCATGATTTGTTAGCTTTTTGTTGTTTACATTCTGTATTCAACCCTGGGGAGTGGCAGAATAGCAAAGTCACACAATGACACCTTTTAGAAGGAAACCAGTAAGATAAGCAACTAAAAGGCATAAGTACTGCTCAAGAGCAATTTACATTCCAGATAAACATGAAACCAGTATGCTCCTGTACTCTTAAGAATCTACAGAGATGGAAAGAGTATGTATAATCCTTAAACTGTTTTGTTTGGTTTTTTGGTGGGGTAGTAATTCCGAACTGGATCACAGGAGCAACCCCCCTTTTCAACAATTTTCCTAGTTTTCACACAGTTTCTTTTTTCAACATAGGCAGATCTCTTCCCTTTCAATTGATAATATGCAAGATATTTTAAACATACATATAATTTGGCAAATCAGAGTAAGGCGAGAGAAGAATATGGAAAAATTATCTTGAACTATTTAAACTTTTATCAAAACTAAAGAAAGCAAGAGAAGAAATCTGAAAAGCAAATCCAGATTTTCTTTCAATTCTTATGTCAACATTTGGATTCTTATGCTGTCAATTTCACAAGACTAAAAGTAAAAAAATGTACTCAAGACTAAAATGCAGATAGAAGGTTACAATTAGGAATAAAACAACTTTGTACTCAGTGAATCTCACAAATTAAAAACATACACCTTTCAGTCTTTAAGTATGTTAGTTCTAATAATAACTCCTAAATGACTCAAAGAGGAACTGGGAATCTCTTAGTTCCAACCCATCCCAAGAAGATGAAGAAGAACATGACAGCCAGTGCTGCCCACTTCTCCCCTAGCTTGAGTTCTCTGCACACTTATGTGGGAACGCAACGCTTGAACGCAAGTGAGTGTAGAATCCAAAACATATAGTCCCAAATTATGAGATTGATTTTCCCAGTTAAAAAAGATAACCAGCCCAGTCACTGGACTGAGCTACATATACTGGATTTTACTTATGTAGGCCATATTTAAATGTTGCATCTCCATGCAAACATCCAAGTCAGAGCAGATGCAACATGAAGACAGTTGTACTCTTCCTTTCTTCCACTTGACTGGCTGGATTACAAAAATATCAATCAATCCAGCCCTTGCAGAATGTAGGTAAACAAATGGGGCCCCAAATATCAAAATAGTAAGGCATCTGCAAGATTCATATGAAAGTTATGATTTTTATCCTATTGATCATCCAATGAACTTACTATAAGCTCCTTTTGCTAATGAACTTCAGGCACTTTTATCCTATTGATCATCCAATGAACTTATCATAAGCTCCTTTTGCTAATGAACTTCTCATTAGTTCCATGTATCAAGGCAAATTTTGTGGTATTCCTGAATAATTTGGTGTACTTACCCAGTTCTTTAGAAACAGGCGAGGCAACTGCAATGTCACCTATTTTTGCAACTCCATCATAGTAGGCTCTTCCAGCAAGAATCATAGCTACAAAAAGAAATAAAAGGATTAAGGAAATATTGTGTATTGCAGTATCTCAAAATGAATTGTACTTTACTGTCTGATAACTGTTAACCATACCTCGTTGCTTGCATTGCATCAAAACAAAAACATACTTTTCTCTTTTGTAGACAAATTTCTCATATACCAACAATTACAAGACATTTCACAAAGTACACAAACAACTTATGTATATAATGATGTCTAACTCTAGACTAGTGATTTTTTCACCTCATATACCTGTTGAGTATAAACTGTGAAGAATTACCATGTAGACTGATCGCCACTGAATCATTTATTCTCATTACATGTTCCTTTTGTTGCCTTTCCTCTCCTTTTTTCTTCTATTGTTCAAAATACTAACATTTGTAAAGCTATGATAAACAATAAACTTTAAAAAATATACACAATAGAAAAAATATGCAGGCAACCCAAACCAACCAGAATCCTGTGCTTTGAGTTTTGTTTACATAGCAAATAAACTTTCAGTTTCTGTCACTGGTCCAAGTTCTGTACTGTAAATTACACCTGCTTTAAAGGTGACAATGCTACTGGCAGTAGCAGATCAATAATTAAAGACTTCCTTCTTCCATCCAAGGGCTTGCTTGTTTCATGCACAATTAGACTGTCTGCAGGTGAGGCAGGCAGGATCAAAGTTGAAACTCTTAAATTATCAGCAGTCTTGCCTTGCCAGTGATACCCTTACCTGCAGGCATAATTTTCAGAACAAAATTTTTGCCAGTGTTAGTGTACTCGTCTCCATTGCTAAATCCTCCAATGCTCACTCTTTAAAAGGAATAATCTTTAATTTCTTGCATCTATTCCTGGTAAACGTCTGCTTTGCCTTTTGTATGTGTGTGTGTGCGTGCGTGCAAAGATGGACATGATAAAGGACTAAAATGGGAGAGACCTCACAGAACCAGAAGACATCAAGAAGAGGTGGCAAGAATACACAGAGGAATTATACCAGAAAGATTTGGATATCCCGGACAACCCAGATAGTGTGGTTGCTGACCTAGAGCCAGACATCCTGGAGAGTGAAGGCAAGTGGGCCTTAGAAAGCTTGTCTAAGTGGAGGTGATGGCATTGCAAGCGAACTATTTAAAATCTTAAAGGATGACGCTGTTAAGGTGCTACATTGAACATGCCAGCAAGTTTGGAAAACTCAACAGTGGCCAGAGGATTGGAAAAGATCAGTCTACATACCAATCCCAAAGAAGGGCAGTGCCAAAGAATGCTTCAACTACCGTCCAATTGCACTCATTTCACACACTAGCAAGGTTATGCTCAAAATCCTACAAGGCAAGCTTCAGCAGTATGTAAACCAAGAACTCCCAGAAGTACAAGCTGGATTTCGAAGGGCAGAAGAACTAGAGACCAAATTGCTAACATGCACTGGATTATGGAGAAAGCCAGAGAGTTCCAGAAAAATATCTACTTCTGCTTCATTGACTATGCAAAAGCCTTTGACTGTGTGGACCACAGCAAACTATGGCAAGTTCCTAAAGAAATGGGAGTGCCTGAGCGCCTTATCTATCTCCTAAGAAATCTATACATGGGACAGGAAGCAACAGTTAGAACTGGCTATGGAAACACTGATTGGTTCAAAATTGGGAAAGGAGTACGACAAGGCTGTATATTGTCTCCCTGCTTATTTAACTTATATGCAGAATACATCATGCGAAAGGCTGGACTGGAGGAATCCCAAACTGGAATTAAGATTGCCGGAAGAAATATCAACAACCTCCGATATGCAGATGATACCCCTCTGATGGCAGAAAGTGAGGAGGAATTAAGGAACCTTATAATGAGGGTGAAAGAGGAGAGTGCAAAAAACGGTCTGAAGCTCAATATAAAAAAAAACTAAGATCATGGCCACTGGTCCCATCACCTCCTGGCAAATAGAAGGGGAAGATATGGAGGTAGTGACAGGTTTTACTTTCTTGGGCTCCATGATCACTGCAGATGGTGACAGCAGCCCCGGAAGTAAAAGACACCTGCTTCTTGGGAGGAAAGCGATGACAAACCTAGAGGGCATCTTAAAAAGCAGAGACATCACCTTGCCAACAAAAGTCTGCATAGTCAAAGCTATGGTTTTTCCTGTAGATGTACGGAAGTGAGAGCTGGACCCTAAAGAAAGCAGACCGCTGAAGAATTTATGCTTTTGAATTGTGGTGCTGGAGGAGGTTCTTGAGAGTCCCCTGGACTGCAAGGAGAACAAACCTATCAATTCTAAAGGAAATCAAACCTGAGCGCTCACTGGAAGGACAGATCCTGAAGCTGAGGCTCCAATACTTTGGCCATCTCATGAGAAGAGAAGACTCCCTGGAAAAGACCTTGATGTTAGGAAAGTGTGAAGGCAGGAGGAGAAGGGGATGACAGATGATGAGATGGTTGGACAGTGTCATCGAAGGGACCAACATGAATTTGACGAAACTCCGGGAGGCAGTGGAAGACAGGAGGGCTTGGCGTGCTCTGGTCCATGGGGTCACAAAGCGTCACGACTAAATGACTAAACAACAACAACAACGTGTGTAAAATGTAAAAAAATATATGTTATGGAATCACTCTACACCCCCGAGCCTTCTTCCACTGATTTTATTTATTTTGATTTCTATCTTGTCTTTTGATCTTATGATATTCTCAAATTAACTTTCAATAAAATGTAAAAATATATAAACAAACAAGACCCACACAAACCAGCTGCTCTGACTCCATTAAGGCATTCAAATATGAGTCAAATTTCTATTCAAGGAAGAGACAATGCTACCGCCATCCCCTTTTACTTTTTTTCTGTGAAGCAGAAGATTTAAAGAGATCCTTGGCTATGTGTGAAGGTTATCCCCACACCCAGGCACAAGTTAGATTTTTTTCCAGAGTTCTATCTATCATAGAGACCCTCCAAATATAGAAGCTCTCTTCTTCATATGAACAAAGCACTAGCGAAGGATGTGGGTTTAGCAAGCTCCCTTCGTTCCGCACTAATCCAATCATGCTTCATGGTAGTAGAGATACAGTATGAGGAAGCAAAATCCTTCCAGTTGTTTCTTCTCTGGCTAGTGAATTAGGCAAAGCTAGTCTCCCATTTATCATGATGTTCTCACAATTTCAATTGGTGAGAACATAATAAATACTTGTTATATAGCACCATAAAGTGATTGCCTCTTAAGATTATCTGAAACAACATATCTAACTTCATTAATAAAAAAAGAGCTTAATAAGTAAGCAAACATTTTCTTCATTGCCAGATTCACTGCAGCAGAACAATTTATTTAATGGTACTTACATAGTAATATGATACTTTGAACACTTTCCTGTAGAGGAGGTGTTTGGAAGTATCCTATTCTCGGAAAACTAGCAGAAGAGGGCAGGTTTATCTTTTTATTTATCTTTGTTCATAGGTATGGCCCAGACCATCAGCAGTAGTACAGCTTTTTCAAAAAAACCATCCAGATATAAGAAGTGTCACTGGGCTTGGATGTTCTCTGTTAATTATTTCCAATGTATTTTTGTACCTACAATTTAAATACCAAGGCCTGTTCTGCTACATAAATCATGGAAGCAAAATTTAAACTGGAGAGTGGACAGCTATAAGAAGAAAACAACTACATATGTTAATGTAGAGTTATACCACAAAACTCTGACTTCATAGAAATTTGGGACACTCAGAAAATATCTGTGCAACATATAGCAATAGCTATATTTTCAAGTGGTGCAGCAATCACTTCTAAAATTATTTTTATAACAAAAGCATGGTCTCTCTGATAATAAAAATGTTTCAAGATGTACAGAAGGCAACTGTAGGAAAATAATATAACACTACTCCAAATAAATAACATGTATGGCAAAGACTGATGAACATGCACAGGTATTCTTAGAAATAAAATACATGTTTAAAAATGCAGGACCATACCTACATTGGAAGGATCATATTGACATTCACCTAAGAGACAAAGTTTGAGAAGAAAACCTTCTTTCTAGCCATCTTATTCTCAAATTAGATGCCAAACAATCTCTCTTTTTTACATTTTAGCATTTATTTTATTCAGCTCCAATCAACATATTGTCTAATTTTCAGCCCCACTGGGCAGGACACTGCCTCTCTCGTGTGCAACTTCTCCCCTGCGTGCGTGCACAACTCCACCTCCCCACACACAAGGGGGGGGATTCCATCGCAAACGGAATCAAAGGGGTTGTGCAGAGGAGGAGGAAAGCTGCATGGAGGGGGTGGAGTCAAATGCACACGGTCCCGCATCCTAGGCGGAACCTTGGCTCCCATATAATGATAAGCAGTTGTATAGTCATGGAGACTATCAGACTCAGGCAATTCATAATTACAATTTAGCAGGAGGTAAGTGGATTGGAAAACTTCAGATTTAATTCTGCTTTCATAAATTATAATTGGTATAATTAACTGACCACGGTTTGTTTATGCTAGGCATTCTCCTGTATTTGTAAAGTACATTACATGGAGAGGTAATGTAAGGGGAAACAATGAAACTGACAACAAGTGGAAAATCAGGGGACAATATATGTGCAGGTAAGATGAAGGAGGGATTGTGAGATCTTCTAAGGTTTTAACCTAGACTCAGACTGAGGAGGCACAACCTGAAAGCAAAGAGCTGATGCCTAATATGTCATAAAGGAGTGTCTGTTTAGGACTGATGACTCAGAATTGAGCCTAATAAACATGGTAACGGAAGTTACAAATCCAATCAAAAAATACTCTGCCTGAGTTTTATTCCTGCACCCCAAAATTATATTACTTTTTCTGGAAACCTGTAAAGTAAAACTTTCCACTTTCAGCAAAGGGCTTTTTTCAGAGGAGTGTATCTACCAATCAGATTGCAAAGCAAGCTCTTGTTTATTTCCAGTGACCAATAAAAAGGTAAAGCAGGCTTGAATGCAAGATAGGAAAAGCATGTGGTATGACAAACACATCTTGTGTGAGCACCTCTTTGAAGTACATATAATTAACAGGGTTATATGTAATAGGATTGAGGGGGGTGGAAAGTCTGTGCGTCTTATGGAGCGAAGAAAACAGATTATATTTTCCCGTTTTCTTCTCCTAAAAAATTGGTGCGTCTTATGGAAAGGTGCGTCTTATGGAGCGAAAAATACGGTAATTAACAGGGTTATATGTGATAGGATTAAAATCCTGAAATTATAGTTCAGCATTAACACAATATTTTAAGGCTTGTTCAGGAACATGGCTTTCAAATGAGACTTATCAACTGACAGACTGATGAATACGGGGGATGATTATCTTAGAACTATGAAGAAGGCAGGCAAAATGGTAGATACGAATGGAAAGAAACATGGGGCAAACAGTATACAGTATAAACATGTAAATAAAAGGAGCTATAGTGTAGGGAAGCAAAGAAAATTGAGAACAAGAAGGCAGAGACATGGAAAGCTTTAGAATTCTATTAAAAGCAACAAGATTAGGCCTATAAACCTGTCATCATTGTAGTTTTTTTAATGCTACTGGCAATGCTGCTCCTTTTATTTTGCTAACAGCATTATTAGAAGTTAGATGGCTTTGAACAAATGTCAAGGAAACAGATACTGAAACTGGTTGCTAGTTCCCAGTAACATAGTTCTTTGAAAGTTCAGAACAGGGCCGGAGCAATAAACCTAATGAGGATTAAAAGTTTATATGCATCTGCAGTTCACAAGCTGTAAACTATTCAATACCATGTATTGTACCTCCCTGACTAGAAGACTTTACCCTTCAGAAGAAACAATGGATCTCTCCAATCAAAAGACATTACAGTACTGTAATATACTATAATCCAATATGACATTTCTGCATAAGAAGCTGGGGTATGGACTCCATAATAAGCTTTGAGCCACCCCAAATAACATGCCTTTACCATTAAGACAGTAGTTTTTATGAGGCATTGAATCACATTTCAGTGTTGATTCATTTTAGCCTATGGCATTGTCACATAACTTCTTGTGAATAATCTCTAAAAATCATAGGCGAGAACAGAAAAATGAGGCTGTACTCTCCATAGTAAGTTTTGGGCCACCTAAATCAAGTATTCAGACATTTAGGTGAGTATTTTCTTTGAAATAGCATAGAACTACTGGCCCAATTATTTCATTATCAAGTGACTGTATAGGTTCCACTTAAATGTAGGACATGTAGAAAAGTGTCTTGCGTATATACGTACCAGCTACATAGAAAATATGTACAGAAGGAATTGTGCAGCCTATGATAAGCTTTGCACTACCCCAACTATACATGTCCAGGAGAACTTCCACTACCAAATGTCAGTGAACTGTGTTTTGTATATTTGTATGTATATTTCTTTACCCGGCGTGTTGTTAGTCTGTGGAACTCCCTGCCACAGGATGTAGTGATGGTATCTGGCCTAGATACCTTTAAAAGGGGACTGGACAGATTCCTGGAGGAAAAGTCCATCACAGGTTACAAGCCATGATGGGGATGTATAATCTCCAGGCTTCAAAGGAAGTTACAGTCGTGCCCCACTTTACAATTGCCCCATTTAATGATGAATCGAGGAAAAGTCCATCACAGGTTACAAGCCATGATGGGGATGTATAATCTCCAGGCTTCAAAGGAAGTTACAGTTGTGCCCCACTTTACGATTGCCCCGTTTAATGACGAATCCGATTGCAAAATGATGGTTTGAATGGGGTTTTCCCGCTTTGCGATGATCGGTTCCCTGCTTCAGGAACTGATTTTCGCTTTATGACTTTCAAAACAGCTGATCATCAGGTTTTCGAAATGGCCGCCGGGTGTACAAAATGGCTCCCCTGCTGTGTTTAGGAGCCATTTTTCGCTTTACAGGCACCCGAAAACGGCTGCCCCTATGGAGGCTCTTCGCTGGACGGTGAGTTTTCAGCTCATTGGAATGCATTGAGGGGTTTTCAATGCGTTTTAACGGGGTTTTTTTGTTTCGTTTGACGACGTTTTCGCTCTACAGTGATTTCGCTGGAACGAATTAATGTCGTCAAGCGAGGCACCACTGTACCTCCAAATGTCAGGTGCATGAGAGGAGAATCAGGAGACAGGTATCTATTTGTCTCATGTGCTCCCAGGGGCATCTGGGGGGGCCACTTTGAGATACAGGAAGCTGGACTAGAGGGGCCTTTGGCCTGATCCGTATGTAACTCCAGTATCATGTAAAGATCACAGATGTGATTTTCATAATTCTTGTTTTTCCCCTGTGGAAAACCATTTCTTTAAAGTCATCATTTTACATCTCTTATAGTCAGTCAGTCAGTTTATTGTTACAGTCCTTAGACCAACCCACCTCTTATAGTCATTGATAAGCATTTAAAAATCCAGAAGAGACATAGACAAGTTGGTGCATGCAGGAGATATACTGGTTCACCAAACAATTATCATGTAAGGATCAGTCATAAGCCAACTACCTTTCTGCCATGCAATCATTCAAGAAATCCAGGTTTAATTTTACTTTATAACGCAACCAAGTTAGAAAACGGTCCTTGCCTCAGGCAAAACTGAAATCTTAGTCTGTTTTAAATAGATTAAGGCATTAATTTTATGCACAGTTTCCAGGGAATAACTCTCACTGATCAAGGTGGAACTTACCCATAATTAAGCATGCTACACCACTTAGATACAGTACTTTAAAAAAAAAACTATGCTTGCTTCCTTGAGGTGATATATCCCTGAAGCCTGGACAAATAAGCAGGGCTTTGATTAGCCCTTTGGTTGCCATAAGACTCTAAAAGTCTAATATTTGTTATTGTTGGCTGTTTGTTGATGTGTTGGGTTCTGTCTTGTGTTCTGGCTCTGACTGCTATTCAGTAGACACATAGCCACATAGAAAAATACTACTCTTCTCATGAAACACTGGACAATGTTCCTGATGTCTAAAAGAGTCAAATTGCTTCATTACTTAACCACATGTAAAATGCACCAAAATGGTTATATATCAAAGGCCATGTTTGAACTGGGATGTACAACAAATAGTTTCTGTGCAAGCAGCTTGTCAGGCCCACCATTGAAACTGCCCTACAACATGCAGACTATGAGTAGGCTGGCTGCAAAAAGTGACATGCCGCACTACAAGCATAAGTAGCAGCACAATACATAAAGCGTCAAGAGAAACAACTTCTTGTGGTGCTGAAAAGGTAAAGGTAAAGGTTCCCCTTGACAATTTTTGTCCAGTCGTGTTCGACTCTAGGGGGCGGTGCTCATCCCCGTTTCCAAGCCATAGAGCCAGCGTTTTGTCCGAAGACAGTCTTCCATGGTCACATGGCCAGTGTGACTTAGACACAGAACACTGTTACCTTCCCACCGAGGTGGTCCCTATTGATCTACTTGCATTTGCAAAGCAGCTTGTCAGGCCCACCATTGAAACTGCCCTACAACATGCAGACTATGAGTAGGCAGGCTGCAAAAGTGACATGCCTCACTACAAGCATAAGTAGCTGCACAATACATAAAGCTTCAAGAGAAACAACTTCTTGTGGTGCTGTACTAACCTGCAATGCGCGCTCACTCCGTCTCGTGGATTCGATCTTACGACTGCTTGGTCTTCTGACCCTGCAGCACAGGCTTCTGCGGTTTAGCCCACAGCGCCACCACAGTGCTGTACTAACCTGCAATTTCTTTCCACAATGAAGGTGCATATATAGTCTATAAACCAGACATTTATACCTGTTAACAATTCATCCAGTTTAGAAATACAACTAGCAGACTTCAAAGGACAGCATGAAATCGTTTTATATCACATCTATTTAAAAGATGTTTAAGGCATCTTAAGAACACTATGTAAAATTAATGGGATACAAATGAACGTCTCAAAGACAAAGAGGGTTCTTTCCTCTGTCTTCATCGTGTTTTAATTTACTAGTTTCCAAAAAAAGAATTTTGAATGGAAAAATGTGTTCCACAGGCTCATTGGAGGGAAGCCACATGCATTAATTTTAACAAAGCATACTTTTGCTCTCGGCTGCGCCATGGGAAAATCAACACAATCTAAAGTCATGTATACCCCAAACAAGGGCATTAACTCTAAGAAGAAATGTTCATCCAACATCTTGCCAAGTTGGTCTGCATGAATGAAACTGAAACAAACTACTGCCAAATAGAAATGAATGTTTTAATGACATTTTCACTCCTTAGTCACCACCCTACTGAAATAAATACTGTACAGCTTGTGCTAGTTGGGTAGTGCTCAATGGCTGAAATGCTGTTGCTTAGTGTTGTAAGTTGTGACAGGAATAAGCCCAAAGAGTCAATGGAACTTATGAAGGAATTGATTCACCAAATCCTCTCTGATTCAATGGGGCTACTCTGGTTGTGATGTACTATGCTAAGCAACAAGATTTCAGCCAATGTTACTAATTACCACAGGTTCTTCCAGGACACACCCTTCCATTCCCCTTATCCCTGCATAGTCAGCATTCTGTAAACACTTAGCATATTTGGTACATATTGGGCTACTGGGCTAGTTTGTGAAAGGTTCTTTGCCCACAGATGATGTTTTAATTTTATACTGTAAATCTTGGAATTCCGCTGAGCATACTACGCAACCCTATTCCCCATGGGTATTTATTTTTTGCTATATGAACAATTACTGATTTGAACCCTAGAAGTAAAATCATGTACAGTACTCAAACTGATAGAATAAATATTTTAAGTACTTTTCATTCTTGGTAGAACTGTGGCTTTGATCTTGGTAATTTTCAGGTAATTATGGGATTCAAACAGGCATGTGTGAGCAGATGGGTTAGCACATTCTGAAGAGCTGCCATGATACAGAAATATTTTATTCCTACAAAATTATAACTAACTGTGTTCCATTAGTGCATTGATTTAGAACTTAGGGAGGCTTACCATTAACAGCTTTTTCATAGCTTTTCCCCAGGTTTATTAAATTCCGTAGTCCAGGATTGAACTGTTCCATGACATTCTGAAATAATAACAAAATGAAAAAGGCATAATTAAACTCCTACATTAAACTGACACAAAATATAGTTTTAAGCATCTACCTAATTTTTTAAACTGCATTTCATTTAAATTGAGTCAAAATGCCATCTCAACTATCTAGTTGGGCTGCCCTCCTTCTCCCTAGCCTTAAGGGCAGTTTATCATGACTTTTCAAGAAACAAGCAGAAAGTAACTTCACAACTTGAAACTATGTTTCTGAGCAAGTCTAAGAAAAGATCCAATTAGTGCAATACAGTGGACCTTCGACTTACAGACTTTTCGAGTTACAGACTTCTCTGGACGCAAAATTTAGGTTCGACTTGCAGCCGGAGAATCGAGTTACAGACCCCCCCAAAAAACCAAAATGGAACAAAAATGGAATAAAAATGGCCCGTTACGGCATTGATTGGTTTTCAATGCATTGTAGGTCAATGGAGACTCGACCTACAGACTTTTCGACCTGCAGCCACGGTTCCAATACGGATTAATTCCGTAAGTAGAGGGTCCACTGTATACACTCTCTCATTAAAGGTTCACCTATTTATGGTGTAAGAAGGGAATATTCATATGCACTTATAAATTGGGGATGTATATTTTTCAGTGTGTGTGTAATGTAGATTTAGAATTCCTGGAGGATCCCAGGTACACAACTGAATTGTACAAACATTCTGACAAAGCTTTTACATTTCTTACATTTTCATGTACAGTTATTCCAGGGCAGTCACAACACAACTTCAGTTCTTTCCCCTTCCCAGTTTTCCTGTCTCGTTTGTTCCCTTAAAATATATATAGAATCCAAAGTGAACTACTATTGCACATGCATGTTTGCTCACAGCACTGGCAACACCTCACCTGGAACTGTGCAAGTGTAGGTATTGTAAGCCCCTCTGGATTCCCCTACAAATATTCCATTTTTAAAAACTATTCCCATTTTAAGAATGAACTTTTTCTATGCATGTCAACTGTGTGACAATAAATTCATCCTGTTGTTCGCTCTTCCCAATTGTTACTTTCCCTTCATTGGCTGAGCCATGAATGTGCTAACATCTGGTGGGGGCTCTTTCATTGTTCTCATTACTGAAGTGCATACACACCCTGGCCAATCCTCTTCACATATTTCATTGCTGTATATGTCTGTGCATGTGAGTATCCACTTTCACACAGGAGAAAACCCCAAGAAAGCACAATAAATTCTGAGATGTTTATGTCTGGAGGCAAAAAGTGCTGGATTGAAACAAGTCCTGCTGTTGAACTACTGACTACACTGTGTGAAAATCAGAGAGAGCAAATGTGTGTATGTCAATATCAAGGCTATATAAAACTATTATATGAAAACTTCCTAAAATGAAGTAAGTGGTCCCAAAGATCTTTCACTGCGGCACTAAAAATGGAGTGCATACATTCCATATTTATGAATCAGATTATATTTTAAACAACAACAACAAAAACCAGAACAACGGCAACAAAATGAATCTGATTATCTGAAAGTCAATGCTAGGAATATCCTCTTTCATGTTTTTCCCAGAATTGCAGTTCGCAACCCAGATCAGCAAACCTTAGATTCTGTCTCTCTAGGCAAGGACTTTGGGGTGGGGGTGGTTATCTGAACAAATGGCTTTCCTTGCCTTTGTTTCCTGTTGTTGATTTGTTAAAAAAAATTGCAACAGAGCATCTAAGGAGTTGTAGCCTTGCTGACCATTAGGCTGTTTAGAGCAATGAACAAATGGCTTTCCTTGCCTTTGTTTCATGTTGTTGATTTGTTAAAAAAAAAGAAAATTGCAACAGAGCATAAGTAAGTACATGCATGCAAGTGCCCCCCACCCCTTCGCGAGCATGTGCGATTGTCACCCGAGCACCCCCACCCTTTGTGCCTGCACATGAGTGCCTGCACAAGCGCACATCAGCTACTTTGTGCATGAGCATGAGCACATGTGTGTGTGCCTCGCCTTCCCCAACCAACCAGGCCGCGGAGACAGATCTCCCACCCATCCCACATGCACTCCTGCACAGCCTATTTGCGCATGTGCGTAAGTACATGCGTGCAAGTGCCCCCCACCCCTTCGCGAGCATGTGCGATTGTCACCCGAGCACCCCCACCCTTTGTGCCTGCGCATGAGTGCCCGCACAAGCGCACATCAGCTACTTCCTGCATGCGCACGAGCACGGGTATGTGTGCCTCGCCTTCCCCAACCGGTCAATGGACTTAAAAAGGTTGGGGACCGCTGGTTTAGAGGGTCCCTCCTAGGGCACTTTTCTTTTTTGTTACAAATCAACAAGAAGAAGCAAATGCTGTGGGAGCCAACAGTGCAGGTAAAAACCTCCAAAGCTCTTTTCAAGAGGGGTGAACCCTATAGTTGTGCTTATAGTGGTTTGTGGACTGCACTTTCTGGAAATTTTGGAGAATCTTGTGAACAGCAGTCCAAAAACACAAAAGAGCACATTACCAGGGAATGGCATTAATTTTTTCTCTTTAATTAAGAGGGATTTCCACTAGAAACTTTTTACTATCATCATAACTTTTACTAGCATCAAAGGAAAAGACAAAGAACAATGAAAAAAAACATTCTAAAGGCATACAAGCAAGGAAGCCAGCTCCCTACCTTTCCACAGCTGGAAAATTGCACTGAAATCTATTAATTAATTAATTAAAAATATTTATACACCTCCTTTCTCCCCAAAGAGATCCAAGGTGGCTTTACAATTTAAAAGACATAAGAAGGAAGTATGTAACCATTCTTGTATCACATTACAAAGACTTTTTGCAACACAAGGGCAAAGAAGACATAATTCAGAAAGTCATGGATGAATGGTATGAATTTAAAATACGTGCCAAAGGTCTGTCATCAGTGGATTTAATGGGGGTAGGTTTTCTGTTCTTCTGAAGCTCCTTAAAATTGCCTCTGTTCTACCAGTTTCTACAGTTAGCTGTGAAAGGGGTTTCAGCCAGATTAATCTGATCAAAAATAAATTCAGATCATGCTTAGAAACTTAAAGCTTAGATGACCTTATGATGATGAATCTAAATGGACCTCCACTACCACAGTTTAACCCTACTAAAGCCATCATTAAATGGTACTTCAGTGCTAAAACTACCAGGCATGTTCAAGGACACAAGTGCAACACCTCTGACAGCAGTGCATTTTCTGCCAAGACATAGTCGAATACTGTGTTAGTAAGTAATATAATTTATTTTGGGTTTGTACGCATTGTTATGTAGAAATAAAAATGAGCAAGTGAGTATTTTAAATTTGTTAACATAAACTGCAAGGCTATAGTCCATTCATGCTGACTGGTGAAAGTTTTGACTGACTGGTGAGACATTCAAAAATTTTTCGAGCCCTTCAGAAAGGAATAATTAATTGTACCCAATAAGATTAGACAGGTGGGTTTGTTGAAAATTGAGTTCTACGCCGCTGAATTAATAAACTAATAAATTTGGCCGTCTGTCTGGTGTAGGTTTTATTCACACCAAGCAGAAGATTGTGCAAGATTGCTTCCTCTGCCTGTCCAGTAAAACTAACAAGGATTGAGTCTAGTTTTGAAGAGTGAAAGTCATTGTACATGGCACAGTAAAGAAGTATATGCTCCAGGGACTCTATGGGCCTGGAGTTATAGGGGCAGAGCTGTGTTTCTAGAGGTTGCGAATTAAATCTACTATATAAGACACTGGATGGAAGTATATTACATTTAACTAGGGTGAAGACCCACCGTTCATGTGGGCTCTCTACGGGTTTGTACGCATTGTTATGTAGAAATAAAAATGAACAAGTGAGTATTTTAAATTTGTTAACATAAACTGCAAGGCTATAGTCCAGATTTAAAGGTGAGCATACTTTACAGGCTGCCGCAAAAAATTCTTGCCTCTCAATATCCAAGAGTCTCTCCTTGAGCAGTCTGTAAGACTAAGCAAAAGGCAGAGCACCCAGGTGGTCTAGGGAGATACCCACCGTCTGTGCCTTTCGTATGAACAGTTTTAAACTGAATGTAAAGAATCAGACAAGACACTCCTTATTAAGGGGTCATTCAGTGGCCACAAAGCATATTCTCAGCCAGCATTCAAAATGTCTCAGCCACACTTGTGTCCTCAATCTGATTAAGCTTGCCTCCAGGCATGCAGCTGCATATAGCACACAATGGGGGCACAGCAAAGATATTATAGAGAAAAGTGGACTGGAGTCTTACCACTGAGGAGTTAAAGGCATCCAGCCAGACTGGTGGGCCATATAGCAGTTGGGAGACAGCCTTGGCTTTGAACACCCTCAGGGCAGCAGGAATATGTCCATTGCCCCATACATGAAAAAAACCACAAGTATTGTTTGCACTGTAAGCTTCACTGGGTTAATAATGGATTGGCCCCAGCCAGACTGGTGAGCCATATAGCAGTTGGGAGACAGCCTTGGCTTTGAACACCCGCAGGGCAGCAGGAATATGTCCATTGCCCCATACATGAAAAAAAAAGTATTGTTTGCACTGTAAGCTTCACTGAGTTAATGGATTGGCGATGTCTAGCCCATGAGTTACAATAGTGACAATTAAGCCCTAGGTATTTAAATTCTTTTACCTGCTGGATACCTCTCCCATGGAATATCCAAGACCGAGATTTCCAGCTCTCACTGAATATGACTATTTTAGATTTGCCATACAGTAATTGAGAGTCAATTTGTTACTGGAAAGATAGCTAATACAGTGTTCAATTAGCTGTCTAAGGAAACTTTGTACTATTTAAACAAATTGTTTTCTTCATACAGAGAAGAAAAGTAATCTCTATGACCTACAAGATGCTTAAAACACTGATGCACCTTCTTTTCAAGGCATGAGAATGAGACATCAGGAAAAATATATGAACAGCTCTCTCCTAGAAAAGGAGTGGTACTCAGTATGTTAAAGGAGATCACTGAAATTAGTGTTTGCTGTATGGAAAGCTCATCTGTATACACTTTCTTATTCTAGTAAAGTCAGTATGTACTTTAAGGTCACATAGTG